ATTTCCTCAATCACCTCTTCACACCTCCCAAGTTTTCCAGTTGTGCAAACAAGCACTTGTTCCATATCCAAATTCGAATTCCATTCTTCTACATTATTCTTCTTCACTACAGAACTCTCAGGTTCATTAACATCAATGATCTTCATTAACAGGGAATCTAAATTCACCTTCATTGTCGCTAAGGATATGATCTCCGATGTAGAACTTGGATTCATAACATTTGACTTCTCTCTCTGTTTCTTGATCGGCCACCCAGAATTCTCCAGAGTATCCTCCATTAATTTGCTTTTGCCCTTGCCAGGTACTTCCAGGAATTGTTTCTTCATAATATATCCTCCTTCATAAATGGTTAAAGGCTTGTTCATCAAAGAAGCAATTTTTATTCCAGGATAAAAACTTGGTTTTTCGTCCCCAAATGCCGGTGGAGAAGACAGAACAACACGAGCTCCTCTAATGATTGGACGTCCCGACGAACGTCTCTCCTCCGTGAGACCACCGGCCGCAGTAGGCCGTTGACCTTCCATCATCATTCAATATGATGACGAAGTTGCAAAATCAGAATTCAAATAACAGAATTTTGAATTCCTAGAGTCTCTCTCTCTACTTTCTCTCTCTCAGCTCCAAATGGATTCAAATAACATAATTTTCACAGGAGCCATTTTAGGAAGGAATTTTGAGGAAGTTTAGGAGGTAAATTGAATGTAGGGACTATTTAGAGATTTCATTTTCATTTGTATGCATTAAATACTTTATTTTTCTAGGGTTAGTGCATCATGAATTTGGCTAAAATTTGAGTTCTCTTATATTTAAGTTTTCCTTTGGGCTTTGTTGGTGCCTAGAGAATTGGGAGAGATCAATCCTTCTCTCGAATAGAGGATCTATTGTGTCTTATTATTTTTAGTTTCTTTTTTTATCAAATTATACAAATTATCTACTAATTTTGTGGTTTTGTGTGGATTTTGGTAGAGAAAGCTCATTATTTTTCAAAGATTGATAGGAAATACTTGAGATCCATAAGTACTTTCTATCAAATTTATATCAAAGTGCTATCTTGGGTGAAAAAATAAGATATTTTGGCTATTTTGCAATTGCAGCCTAGATCAAATTAATGACAACAAAGAAGATGGAGGCTTTTTAAGGCAAAATGGAGCAATTTAAAATCGGCTTGGAGAAGTTCTCTACATGGGGAAAATTTTTTTGATATATGGAAAACCATATGGAAAATCAATTTAGAAGGGCGGAGGAGATGTTAAGAACTCTCTTGGAGATGCAAACAAACTCTTCACTGGTGGTTCGGATGGCTGACCCTAATCAAGATTTGATCGAAATTTCCTTGGCTGAATCTTAGGGAAAGGAGATCAGACAAGAGAAGATTGACGAGGGGGGTTTCTTTCATCAAGACACACCTCTTGTGGCTTCGATAAGGGGTGGATCAAGATTTGTGGATAAGAACAGAACAAAGATTAAATCTTTTAGTTGAGGTAATAGGGAGGCCAACAACTATGAGAGGCATTTAGGGAAAGGGGAGCCACTCATCGGAGTAGGAGGGCGTCAAGAGCCACCCCCTTTTTTTTTTAGGGAAAATCCTCATAAGGTCCTATGTGTTGAATTAAAAAAAGGATTACACAGTCCTTAAAGGGACCTCAAGCTCACTAATACTCAAAAGAGATAAAAAGAAAGAAAAAAATTTCTAAGAGCTCTTGAGTTTCCTATTATTAAAAAATACACGATCAAGTAGGTAAAATCTACGGTGCTCAAGAAAGAGCACTAAAAAAGGAGAAGCAAAACAAAAAATAGCAAGAAGCTCCATGTTCCCTTCCCAAGTGCCACCACTTCGAACATCTGCACTAAAAAATTCTTTCAAAAAAGGTTGATAGGCAAAATAGACATAGCACAAATATAACCCAAAAAAGGATTGGATAACAGTCTAAGCACATATCCACACAAATAGTAGAAAAATTAAAAGGTAAAATAATCAGAGTCTTAATACATTTAACAATAACCTCACTAAGAAGTTGAAGAAGTTCAACAATCACCAACCCACAGGTAGGAAAACAATCGCAGCACCCCAAGTCCCCCAGGCTATAGATGGAAGAGACAAAACTCTTCAGAATTAGCATATGAGAATACAACCATGAAAGAATAAAAAAGCTCCCAGCACACAACAAAAAAAGAAACCCCCAACAAGAAAGAATGAAAACAAAAACCAACCAAACCACCCAATCCAGCCAAGACAAATGGCCAAACTAGTTTAATAAATGATGAACCGAACTGCTAGGAAAGCACCAACTCAAATGCCACCCAAGAGTATTTCCCGCCCCACAACACAGAAAGGAACCAAACCTAGGTAAAGGAAACAACCCAAAAAAGTCAAACCCCAGCTGGCATAATTGCAGAACCCCATCCAACTGAGACTAGATAAAATAGAGGTAGAAAAATCTAAGAAATAACCTCCATTAAAAGCCTCACAAGGCACACAGGTAGCAAGACAAAGTACTAAAAGCCTACTCCACAAAATCCACAACCAGACAACCAAGCAAAGCCTCAAGAGAGAAATAATGCCTTGTAACAGATGGGGATCAAAGCTATAACATCGAGAACCAATAAACCACATAATAGCAAAATAAGGAAAACATCAGGATAAGGCCACACAACCACCCCCAAAAACATGCATAATAAGACTACAAAAATTGAGCATTCTTGGATACACAAACCTAGACCAATAATTAAGGTACAAACCCATACAGAAAAAGAGCAGCAAGAAAAAATAACACCACAAGCAAAACAACCAGCAAACTAACAAAGAGCTAAGTTGAATTTTAGAGGGAGAGAAAGTAGAGAGAGAGACTCTGAGATTTCAATATTCTGTTATTTTGAAAACTCAATTTTTGCGGCTTCGTCGTCGGCTCAATGACGATGAACGGTCATCGACCACCAACGACCGTCGGCGGGATGGATGGTCATCGTTCAACTGGACGTGCAATCTTCGGAGGAGCTCGTGATGGTTCATCATCATCACCAGCATTTGGAGATGATAGATCATTGGTTTTTCCTGGGTTAAAAACTATTGCGATGGGGAACAAACCTTTAACCATTAATGAAGGAGGTAAACTGATGAAGAAACAAGTTATGGAAGTTCCTGGTAAGGGGAAAGGTAAAATCATAGAAGAAACTTTGGAGAAGACGGGATGGCCAGCAAAGTTATTGAATGAGAAGAATAACTCTACGGTGTCTAGAGTCATATCTAAGAACAATCTCATGGAAGATGGTTTGTTGAATGAAGACATTGGTAACTTGAATTCTCTGTTGAAGGAATCCACGAAAGTTAATGAATTGGTTCACTCTGGTATGAAGGATGGTAAAACAGATGATGATAGTAAGAAGAAATCAAATCTGGAAGAAGTCCGGGTATGCACTGCTGAAGAACTTGCAAGCTGTCATGAGGAGATTGAAGAAATGCCCAAAAGATCAAATTCTGCCTCTTATCAGAACGTATGGTCTAATAGTAAAAATATAAAAGTCACATAATTGGAATTTGGTAGCTGTATAGCTAATGACGGTAAAACTGTGAAACTTTGTGTGGATAAAGCTGCTGAGAATTCCAAGAAACTGAACAAATCCCTGGTAATAAAAATTTTTGGAGGAGATGCCCCCTCTCTCTTCAATTAGCTATGAATTGAGGAGACAATGGGAATAATATGGCAAATTTCATCTTACTATTTTGGGAAAAGGATGGATCTTATGCTCTTTTTTTGAAGAAGAGCACATGGAACCAGTACTTACCAATGGGCCTTGGTTCGTGAATGGCAACATAGTTGAGATGGATAGATGGTCTCAAAGGTTTGATCCTAATTCTCTAAAAGGACTCTCATCTCCTATATGTATTAGATTACAGAACTTACCACTATTTTGTTGGGATGAAGTAAATATATGTCGTATAGCTTCCATGGTGGGGAAGCCTTTCCTTATTGATGGTAATATGTTCCAATGGTCAAGAAGGGAATTTGGACGTGTTTGTGTCCGTATTGATCTAGATGCTCAACTTCCTACTGGAGTTTGGGTAGAGGGAGAAGAAAACATATTTTTCTAGAAAATTGAGCATGAAAGGTCTCCCAATCTTTACTTTGATTGTGGGAAGATTGGCCATATCAAAGATATCTGTCCAAACAGTATCTTGATGAATAAAGAGTCAGCAAATCAACCTGGAAAATATTTTCCTAAAAGCAATGTGGAGAAGAATGCGGAGGCTGGAGAAACATCTGTTGAGAATGAAGAATATGGTCGTCCTTGGATGTTAGTGAACTATGGGAGGAAATTTGTTTAGAAAAACTGGAATAATAAATCTGCAACTACTATTGATAAGAGGAGTAAAGTAGTTCTATCAAAGCAATATGTTTCCATTGGGAATAAAGCACCAAAAGAACAAACTAGAGATAAGAAGAGAATGGAGGATCAAGATGGCTCTGAAACAATTGCTAAAGGAGGAGTTTCTAAAGAAACATCTGGAACTTTGGTTGAACAAAATAGTTTTCAAGCCCTTGCAGACTTGGAAGAAGGAGAAATACATCAAACAGTTTCAGATATTGACTTGAATGGAGGGAAAACTATAGATGAAGTTTCCAAAGAGTTAGAGAAGGATACCATCAATATTGAATCGGAAGGAATAGCTTCTGTGTTAACAGAAAATGTGTTGCTAAGAACAATATGAATGTGGACTCTGCTGTCCACAGCAAGAAGAAAAGATCCAAACAGGTAAAGGAATTGGGACCAATCAATTCTTTTACTAGAAGCTGGAGATTGGAGCAGGAAGGGAAAGGTACAATGGGGAGTAATCCTCACAATCTTTTTTAATGTACTCAATTGCATTTTGGAATTGTAGGGGAGCAAGGAAGATGAATGCTTCCTTATATTTAAAAGTGTTTGTAAAGAACAATGGAGTTTGCTTTATTGGTTTAGTTTAAAATAAACTAACTGAAATTGATAGAAGTATAGTTGATGGAATGATTGGGAGCAATTGGGACTATTTTTATGTCCCGTCCACTGGGCTTTCTGGTGGAATTATACTACTATGGAATTCTGATACAACTTTGTTCAAGGTGGAAGATTCATCTTCTCAGATGGTGATCAGAGATTTGAAAGTTATTAATAATGAGAAGTGGAAGGTAGCTATAATCTACGGGAGTATGGAAGTGCCAAAGAGAATGGAATTGTGGAATATGCTAGGTAAGTATTCCAATAGTGATCTTCCAATGGCCATTGGTGGAGATTTTAATTTCTTATTGAGTAAGGAAGAGAAATTGGGAGGAAGAAGATTCATTTATTCTCAAGGATCAAGGGAAATGGAGGAATGCTTGCTCAATAATGATTTACATGAAATTGGGTACATTGGTCCTAAATTTACTTGGTGCAATAATAAAGTTGGAAGTTCCAGGATGCTTGAAAGATTGGATAGGTGTTTTGTTAACACTATTGCATTGAGTTCTCCAATTCAATTGATAGAAAGGCACTTGGCTAGAATAGCCTCGGACCATTGTCCAATCCTTTTACAATTCAAAAACTTCAATACTAATCCTAGAAAGATGATCAAATATGAAAATTGTTGGGCATCTTATCAAGCTTCATTTGGGATAGTAAGGAAGGAATGGGGCAAGAATTATCAAGGTAGCTTCTCTCAAGTTCTCAACAAAAAATTTAAAAGGTCTCTAAAATCACTCTTCTTTTGGAGCAAGGCAAAACACAAAGAGTTGAATAGTTTGAAAGATGTCCTCATCCAGGAAATCACAGATATTAAAGGCAAAGAGACTTCTTTAGGGAGTCTATCGGAGCAAGAAAAATGGAACCTAAAAGCTAAAGTAAGGGAACTTAATGCTACTATGGCAAGGCTTAATATGTGGTGGAAGCAAAGGGCCAAAGTCAAATGGTTATGTGAAGGGGATGGAAATTCTAAGTTTTTCCATTCTTATGCTAGTGCAAGAAGGAATGCTAACAAAATTATCAAGGTCAAAGATGAAGATGGAATGGTAGTAGAAGAACAAAGCCAAATAGAGGATGGAAAAATAAAACCTCTTTAAATTAAATTATCATCCATAAGAATGAACTTATGAAAAATTCTCCAGACAAAAACAACCACAGTGGAAGGAATAGTTGTATGCCAAAGTATAGAGAGAATATCAGTTACCTCCTTTTTAGATCTAAAGGTATGCCAAGCATCCTTTAATCTAAAACCATCATCTTTGGAAAAATTGCATAAAAGTAAATCATCAAAGTTAGTGTTCAGGGGAAGGTTCAAAATTTATTGAATAATATAGTCAGGAATAACATTAGCAAGTTTCTCATCATCACAACAATTATCATCAATGAAACAATTCACCTTAATAGTTGTAGGGGAAGAGGAGTTAATAATAGAATCAATAGAGTGATCACCCAACCAATGATCTTTCCAAAATAAATTGTTACCACCATCAAGCCCCCAAGAGATGAAGGGCTCAATAACCCATTTAACTTTGCAAAGTCTCTGCCACACTTTAGATTCATCTTTATTAAAACAACAAGTAGTCGATGTTTACCCACATAATACTTAGCAAACATAAAATTATCCCAAAGGATCACTTTAACATGAAAATTGTACCACAAGTTGAAAGAAAAAGCATAGGCCAAATCATTCGTACTCTTACACCCCAAGGCCCCCTCTTGTAACACACCACAACACTTATTCCAAGAGGACCAAATTATTTTTGAATTGCTACTAGCCCCTTTCTAGAAAAAAATTATTAAAAAGTTTATCGATTCTATTGCAAACAGCTTGAGTAGGAAGAAGAGTTTAAAAAATATAAACAAGAAAAGACTAAAGGATACTTATGATGAGAATTAATATACCCCTAAAATTCAGAGAGGATTTAAAAAAATCATTAACAATAAGAATGCTTGAGTAGGAAGGATGCTTTTACCATTAACAATAAGAATCATAAAAAATGAATCAAAACAAAACAACTGCAAAATATTATAAAGAAAGTTCCAATCAATATTGTCATAAGCATTGGCAATATCAAGTTTCAAAATCAAGTTGCCACCTCTCACCCTAACATCAAGGTCTTGACAAAATTCTTAGGCCAACAAAATATTTTCAACAATGGTCTACCCTTTAACAAAACCCATTTGAAAAGGAGAGATAATTCTAGGTAGAATAGAAGTTAAATGACTCATAAGATTTTAGAAAGCAATTTATTAAAGAAAGTGCATAAAATAATAGGTATAAAATCATTCCAATTACTAACAAAGTTGTTTTTAGGAATAAGCATAATAAAAGTAGAAGTAAAAAAACTTAGGAATAAAATTACCAGCAAAAAAATCCATAACAGCAGAATAAAGATCATTACTAATAATATGCCAGGATTTCTAAAAAAACTTTGCGGTGAAGCCTTCTGACACAGCCATAGAGTCACTATTCATGCCATAAACAATCTCTTTAACTTCCTTTAAGGAAGGAGGTTTAGAAAGAAACTCATTATCCTCTTGAGATATAAGATAAAGGATAATAAAAGGATTATTAATATGACCAGGACTGAAATCCATATTGAGATGTTTTTGAAAATGTTGAATGACTAAATTAGTAATTTGTAAGCTATCTTCAGTAATGGAGCCATCATCACGATGAATTTTATTAATGCATTTTTTTAGTGCATTTCCTCTTAATAAAAGCATGAAAATATTTAGTATTATTATCACCTTCAACAAGGTGTTTCACAACCACTTTTTATTTCCAAAATGCTTCCTCCTGACCTTGTAATTTCAAAAGGCAATCTTTAGCATCCCTCAACAAATTGAAGCTAACATAAAAAGGAATCAATTGACATTTTATGTCATAAGTGTTCACTTTTTGCTCAGTAAAAAAATATTGGTGAAAAGATTTTTAAAAATATTATCATTCCACCAATTTATAATTTGCTTAAGCCTTTTCAGTTAAAACCAAAGTCTCCACATGCCAAAGATAGAGTTATTTGGATATAAACGGGCTTGCTAATTTTCTTAAACAGAGTCTTGAAAAGTGTCGTGCAGAAACTACATGTTTTGAAATCTAAATTGAGGGTAAGTATTAATATTCCTAGTCTTGAGGCTAATTAACAAGAGGGAATGGTCAGACAGATCACTATTAAGATGCTCAATAGTAATAGAATTAAAACAGTTAAGCCAACAATCATTAAACAACACTCGATCCAATGTTTTACATAAATGACCATAGTTCCTTGTGAATTTATTACCAAAGAATCCAATGTTTAGTAAATTATAATCTATAATCATATTATTAAAATCCTTCATATAGTGATAGGTAAGAGAAGAACCCCTATCCATTCAGAAGGATTAGAAATAGCGTTAAAATCACCTCTAATAAGATAGGGTAAGTTATAAATACTATGAAAGTTACTGAGTTGTTCCCATAATAATTTCCTAGTATACCGAGAAGAAGCAGCATAAACAAAAGAGACACAAAAATGTAAATTTAAAACTTCAATATTACAATGCAGCTCTTGAGTGAAATCTGTAATAACATCAGTCCTAATAGGATCCTTCCATAATACCAAAATATTTTTGGCCACATTCGAACTAGCATACTTAAACCCAAAAATTTAGCAATACCAAGTAATTTAACAGAGGAAATAAGAGGTTCAAGCAAAATAAGAAATAAAATATTATAAACATGGCATATGTTCTTAATTCTTAACCTAGAGAAGGGATACATAATGCCCCTAACATTCCAAATAATAAAATTAGAGATAAAAACAAAATTAATAAGAAGTATGCAAACGGATGGTTCTAGGATATTGTAAAATGATGTTATTATTTTTCTTATATCTCCTACTTTGAAACTTGATGTAACTAGTGTCATTCTCATATTTAGAAAAATAGTTATCCATAATATACATATCCTCTGTATCAGTAAAAGCATCATTATGATAATGAGAGTTTAAGGGAAGCTTACAATCATTCAACATACCTGCCCGCCTAACCTTCTGAGGCAATTCACCCTCAAAGATAAAGCCATCCTCTATATTAGTTTTACTACTTAAGTCACTACCAACATTACCTCCATATAGGTTTGGCCATCCTCCTGGTCATTAACAATAGATTGAGTAGGCACATTATTAGAGCAACTATTATTTAGCATCATAAAGTCCATATCATGCAAGTTTTTATTCGGAGCACAATGGCTAATAGTAGAAGATGAAATAATATTTTGATTATTAGTAATAGCCAACATTTGCACATCCACATTTTGGCAACTATGAGCTAAACAAGAAATAGAGATAAGGTTTTCTCCCTGATCATAAATAAGATCATCTACATGGGTGGATTTGCAGTTCAATATGAATTGTGATAAGTTGTATTGATTCATCAATAGTATCCTGCACTTTAGGAACATTACCCTCAACCACATCAGGATTAGGAATCACAATATCATGATCAACTGAAGGGAAAACATTTCCATGCAATTTTTTGGAGGATTCCTTCTCCTTTCAGAGATGGGGGTTTAATCTGTAACACTCAGTTAACCCATGACCATACATCTTACATTGATAGAAAAAAATGGGCAGATTTTCAATGTCCACTTTTTGGAAATAACCATTCAACTCTGAACCAATCCAAATATCATTAAGATGTTTCTTTGAATTATCCAACTCTACTAAAATACGAGCCACAGATGGATGAGAGATAAAGGTCGTAGCTTGGTCCGTGTGCAAAGGCATACCAAAATTTGATGCTAATCCAAATAAAATTTGAGATCCACACAGGGGTAATAGGAGATTCCTCATGAATATCAAAATATGGTGTCCATTTGAGTAATCTTATTTGACAAGCTTAAATGTAGTAGGATCTCCCTAAAAAAATATGACTATAATCCATATCATTACTAAGTTGAATCGTTATATATCGCGGATCCAGCAAACTGATATGAAAGAGTTGGAAATCTTTAAATTAACAAAAAACTAGCTTATAAAATATAGATTAGGATGATGAAGAAGAAACTTGTCAACCAAAGTAAGGGAAAAAGGAGCGGCCATATGAGAAACTACGGAATCATGGAACATCAAAGGCAGACAACCTTTAAAATAAGTTTGCATAAACTGAAGTTTAGCAAAAGAAGATGAAGAGCTAGCCAAATCCTCCTTGAAAGACTAATATTTGCCATCTGGAAATGAAGAAGACACAGGGATAGATGATGATGGCTTCATCTCCCAAAGCTAGCTAACCTGAAAAAAACCTCAGAACAAATCACAAGATAAACAAAGCAAATAATAAGGAAGAAATCACAGAGAAAAACCTATAAAATTCATGCTAGAAGTGAGGAGAAAGAAGCATGGGAAACAAAACCCTAGATCTCCTCTAAGTCACCAAAGAGCACAAGAAGAGAGTCTAGAGCATCTAATTATCAAGAGTCTTAGGGCTTCTATAAGGAGAAGAATAGGGTTATGAGATTGGAGGACAATTAGAAGGGCATTTCATGGTGAAGGTGGTGGGATGGTCAACCACTATGGGAGATCTTTTGGACAAGGGGAGTAGACGATTGAAGGTGGGACATGAGCTGAACCATGCGGATCGGGTTATGTGAGGTAAAGGGAAGGAAGGATGGATTCCCACCCTCGATATATTGGGGAAATATAGAGAGATCAAGACAATAGCTACAGTAGAGGAGGAAGAATATATTGGGGTGGTAGTGATCCCAGGGTGATGAAGTTGGGTTGCCAGTATTAGAAAAGGAGGATGCTTATGGGTGGGTGTACCGAGTGGAGATGTATCTCTTGGTGAATGGGGTGATGGAGGAGGAGAGACTGACAACAATGACCCTATGTTTGAATGGAAAAACTTTAACTTAGTTCCAGTGGACGATAGCATGACCACTAACAAAGCAGCTTAAGAAAGCAATCAACAACATCCCATCCTTCCACCTTAAGGAAAAGGCGGATCTTTGGGAGGGGAGTTTTGTTATTTCAGTCCATCTATTGCAGGTGGGTCCGGCTTATGGGCCAAACAATGGAGTTTTTTCTTCCTGCAATAGATGTCGTGCGAACTGCAA